TGCCCCCTCCTTCCCCTGTCAGATTTCTGCACATTCAGTGGGGCACAATGCTGCAGCCTAGCTGGACTGACACCAGGCAGGAGCTGCTTCCATGTCCCAGCAGGCAAGACCTGGACTGGGAGGGTTGAGTGGGGTGGGGAGACTTGGTGCTGCTGCCACCAGGAGCACCATACCAGCTGTACTGCCATGACCACCAAAGTGAGGCACCCTCCTGCCTGCCTGGCAGCAGCAGGGGTGGCGGTGTTGGCAGCACAGAGTTGTCACCTGCATTGTGGTGGTGGGCAGGGAGTCCCTCACCTAGGCAACCATGGCAACACAGCTGGTGTGGGGCTCCTGGCAGCAGAGGCAGCACTAAGTCTCACTGCCCTCATGCACCCTTCCAGGCCCCTCCCCTTGATGTTTTGCCAGTGGCAAAACACACCCCTCCCCTGCCCCATATACCTACCCCCTACCCCCCACACCTACCTGGTGCTGGGGCGGGGAGCTGCTGCCAGGTGAGAGGAAGTGGGGGGCAATCAGGGGCTGCAGGTCAGGAATGAAGGGCACTGGCAGGGCTAGGGGGGCTGTGGCTTGAGAGTGAGGGGCTATGACATGGGTAGGGGCAGGGCACCAGCATGTTAGGACTGCTTAGCACTACAAAGCAGCGGGGTGGGGGTCAGCTGCAGCTGGACCTACATCCTGGTGAGCAAAGGGGGCAGGCGGGAGCTCTGATTTTCAGTGATTAAAAAACCCCAAATCAAATGCCAAAATATATAGATATTTAAAATTTATTTTATTATAATGATTGAGGCACTGGTAGGCTTCCAAACTGCTTTAAAATTGTAAATATATCAAATAAAACATTGTATTCAACTGCTACTTTTATAGTGGTGTTTCATTTCATTGCGGAAAAACTTGCCGGCTGGAACTTTGCTAGCCTGCAAGGGGAAACCCACTGGTTCCCGTTTTAAAGAGGAAAATCTGCATTTTTCTGTAGTAAGCAGAAAACCCAGATCCCTGCTTATAACTCAGGATTGTCCAATTGGCAGCTTGTGGCCCACATATGGCCCACAAGGGTTAAATTATGGTATCTGGGCTCTTGCATTGCTGCGGCTCCCACCGTAACTCTGGCTACAAGAGTAAAACTTGCCACTGCCAGGCGAGTAGGAGACACGCAGACAGTGCGTGGCTCCCGGCGCAAAGGCTGAATGCACCTCTTCAGTGAGTCTGTGGTTTGTTGGTGTTTCAGTCTGGGCAGGGTCCATCCTACCTTCCTGTCCATCCCCTGTGAATCTTTCATACGTGTGGTGATAATTGGTACTCTGCTAAAAGTAGGACTCCACTGTTAAGGCTGCTATGGACTCATGGGCTCAAACTGAAATGCTCCAGTCTACACCTCATGCTCACCTTTTCTTGAGGCCTCCTCTGTAGAGACCTTTGTTCTGCAGGGGGTATGGACCAGTAGTTGAGAGAGAGAAGATCATCATGCTTTGTGATGGCTTAGAGGCAGTCCTTCAACATGATAACAAATTCCTTTTCTGGGCAGTGCAGCTGTCTGGAATGTTGTACAATAAGGTATAGTCTTGGGCATGTGTAGGCTTGTGCATTCATTGTGCCCTTTTTCACTGATGACAAGATATTTTTAAATGGACACATCTCACTTTGTCACAGTGATAGTATCACTTACGTAGATTTAGAGAACATATTTGGGTGGCACTAAATTACTAGTAATTCAATTCTATTCTTTCTAGATTCAGCCATGCTTAAAGTAACAAATCATTACTAATATTAGTATTTCTCACTTATTTGAATTTTAGCTGTCCCTTTTCCGCCAACACATCGCTTGACATCTGAGGAGGTGTTTGATACAGATGGAAAACCAAGGGTTGATATTTTGAAGAACCACTTAATAAAAGAAGGTCGGGTAGATGAAGAAATTGCACTTAGAATCATCAATGAAGGTGCTGCAATTCTACGAAGAGAAAAAACCATGATAGAAGTTGAAGCTCCAATTACAGGTGATGCTTCTAATTTATTTTTGTTGCTTAAAGTATAAATTGTATGTCACCTTCATCAGTAAACTTTGTAAAATGTTTAAATGTAAAGAAACCTTACTGTAACAATCACATTGAACTTTCTCTCAGAGCTGTATTTATTCAGCTTTTCACAAGTGCTCAGAATGATGTGCTTGAAATATATGAAAAGAAGAAATAAACCTGTTGGGTATGGGAGAGTAGAACTGGTTAAAAAGAAAAAAAAAAAAAGCAGCAAAGTATTATATTGAAAGTTATTTGTTAAATTCTTTCACTATAATGATGGTAAATGGCACTAAAAGATGTAGCAGTCCAAAAAAGAAAAATGAACTCAAAAGAGCATATTAGATTGTTCTGCAGTCTAAAAATTGTGGAATGAAGGTAATGTCTGTTTTTCAAAACAAATATTTAGGGGAAGATGTCTGAGTTAAGAATATTTATTAATTACTCTTCTTCCATTAGAGACAAATACTTGATGTCTAAAGCAGTGGCTCTCAAGCTTTTTAGACTCAAGGTACCGTTCAGAAAATGCCAACTCTTAAATTTTCACTCTCTTTTGACTGCAGAAAAATAATAGAGCCATTATTTTGTTGCAAAGAACTCAGAAGGGCCCACACCAGGTCAGAGTGTTTTCAGCACTATGGATTACTCTTTGAAAGCTCTGGGTTTATCTTGAGAATCATATTTGCATGCTTAACTGTGCTAACGTTTTGGCTAGGGACAGAAATTACACATAAACCAGTATAATTCATCGGAAACCTGTTCAATCAAATCTGTAACACAGCAGAAGAACAATGCACATAAATCGCTTTCGATATGGCCAAAACCAGTTTAAGTTAAACCTGGATGGATCAGACTTAACTGATTTAGGTTAAATTGGTTTATTGAAGTTCTGTCCTAGATCCCCTCCAGATTCAAGTTACTGTATTTCATGGTGTGTAAGTGGAGTTTTGAAGCCCAATTTTTAACTCTTAAAATTCAATCTTGACTTATACATGATATCATCACCGTCCTCTGGGAACAGCACTGGGCTCGGTGCTCAGCTGGCACGGTCCAGGCAGTGCTGCTCACAGAGGTGGGGGCATGCCAGCCAAGCACCGAGTCTGGCCCTATCTGGTGTGTGTGGCACTGTTGAGCACAGAGTCCAGCCCTGTCCCCTATGAGTGGCACCAGGCTTTGTACTTGGCTGGTGCGGCTGGGCTTGGTGCTCAGCAGTGCCGCTAGCAGCAAACGAGGCTGGACTCGATGCTCGGCTGGCACAGCCCAGCAGCGCGGCTCTCAGAGGATGGGGGTGTGCCAACAGTGCTGAGCCCAGTGCAGTTTGCTGGGCTTGATGCTCTGGAGAGCTGCTTGCAGCAGACAGGGCCAGGCTTGGTGCTCAGCTGGCGTGGCCCTATCTCCTGCAAGTGGCGCTGGGTTTGGCACTCAGCTGGTGCAGCCCAGGCAGTGCCACTCGCAGGGGACGAGGCTGTGCCAGCCAAGCATTGAGCCTGTCCCCGTCCCCTGCGAGTGGCACATATATACTTCCTGGGTACTCGGCCCACAGTGAGGGCATGCAGGGACCAGTATAAGTGAACCCCATTTTTCTGATCCAAAAAGTTAGGTTGACTTATACACTAGATCTACAAAATTCCTAACTTTTTAAATCAGAAAAATGGGGTTGACTTATATACAGTGTCAACCTAGACACCATGAAATACAGTAATTCACAGTTCTCCCCAGCATCCCAAGATGCTTTGCATGTTTCCTGCAACACCTGCCTACCCCCCACACACCTTTCATGGTGGGCAGGCTAGCCTTGGCCCAAGTTGTCTGCTCTAGTCCAGTGCCCCCAAGCTTCTGGCCTGAGCCACTGCAGGCATGTGACTGCATTTCTGGAATCAAAAAGGAATGATGTCTGTTCATTTGCTTATCGGTTCATCTGCACAGCTTAAACTAACCTGCAAAGATTGAATCGATTTGGGTTTTGGCTGTCTGTACTTAGCCTCTGTGGTAGCCCATGGCATCCTTGAAAGGATTTCAAAGCACTCCAGGGTTCCATGGCATCCTTATTAAGAATCACTCATCTATTAAGTGATGGCCTCTTGATGGTCGTAATTGAGGCAGATGACCTACCTAATAAAACTATTTTAAAAAATAGACAGGACCCGATTCAGTTTGAAAGCTGAAATGGCTCCTAGTTATTGAAAGGAGTGCTTATGTACTCTGACTAGCCGGATCTAATTTGCTTGGGATAAAGTTGATGTTTTAGCCTTTATAAAGTTAAAGGAATAAGGAATCAGGAATGAAAAAGAAATAGAAAACATAATATACTTGTCCTAAAATCTTAAAGGAACATTATAACCAGAAACAGCTTGTTCAGTTTACTAACTACAATCAATACTTCCTTGTTCAGTAAATCAATTTTAGAGGCCCAACATGATTTGATAGACTTTTCTTCCTATGAATTCCACACTTCAAATTGTTTTACTTACCTAAGCAAAACATTTTAAAATGTTATTTTGGTGCATTTTAATCAATTCCAGCTTTTATACATACACAGTTTGGCAAATCATGAAGGGAAGAGGTTATAATTTAGTAGGTCAAATTTTTTTTATTGTGTTAGAAAATGGTGAATGATTTATCTGAATAAATGTAAGATCAACTGTGCCCTTGCTTACATAAATGTTTACAGATGTAATAGTTAAAAATCAGTGTTTCTTAATCGTTGTCCACCAATAAGAATTAGAATTTTTTTTAGTTAAGTAAATTAAAAATACAAATAAAAAATAAGTTTGAACTTGGTAATTTAAGTTAGGATTTGCTTGCTGAAATAATTAAAGTTCAAAATCTATTATTTAACTTTTTTATTTAAATTGATGTATTCTATTGCCTTTTGAAAATACTTAGCTGGAAAATAACTATACGATTTAGAGGCTACTAGTTGTAGTTTGAAGAATCATATTTCCCTTTTTAGACTGGATCGCAGTTTAGGAAGCAGGATTAGCGCACCGAATATACATTTCTGGTTTTCGGCATCTTTTTGGCTGTGTTAACCATGACTACCCTGAGGCGACTGTATGAAATAGCTAACCGAAGCATTGAATTATACAAGTATTTGATAAAAATCAGGAGAAAGAAATGATAGATGAAATGTGAAAGGCATACCTTTTTTATCCACCACATTCAAAGATATTTTCTTTCGTTTATGCTCTGTACCTTAGAAGGCAAGAGGTTTGAAAACAGCCTGTCAGGTTGCCTAGGAGCAAGAAGGAAATGAAGCTTTCCTCAGATGCTTGGAGCTAAGTCACTTTCTTGTAGATGGAAAAACTCTTCTTGCTTTGTAACTCCAAAAGTATGAGGAAAACCTAATATTGAAATAGTGGACATGATGGTTTGTAGGAGACAAATAAGCAACTAAGCACATGTTTAGATTAGTTTATAACAGCAAAGTGGGTTTATGATGAAATTACAAAATATGACTGACTCAAAAACAGATGTATTGTCAAATGTGAATTGCATCCAATATGGAATCATTACATTGTTGACTAATATAGCATAATCATAGTCTTCCAAAGTATACACAATAAGGAAGATTTTCAGAGATATTGCAAAGTTTGGGAAACAATGACTCTTATAACCTTGAAGTTGATAGGACTTAATGATAACTCCCTTAGATTATTTTGAAAGTGCCCCCTAATTTGT